CTATGTAGACTCTGACTGACGGCACCCTAGGTGTAGGCCCTACACGCTGGCATAATACCGACCGAAGATCTTCCTACGCATTGCACAGGCTTAATCTGAGTAAGACGTAGTTATCTACAAGCGACAAAACAAAACTCTTAAAGAATCACATTTTATTTAAGTTGCGAAATTATGCTAAAAATCTGTAAATAGGTCGAATTTCCAGCGTTAGTTCACAATTCACTGCATGCCACATTTGAAAAGACGTATAACAATTTCACTTGATCATTTTTAGGACGATCAAATTGTTGAAAGTGTATGTTTATACAAATGTCACGTTCACCGCTGCCTACCTGTTGGCTAATGGTCTTGTAATCTTCAACAATCACCTTTTCTCGATCCCTATTTATTATGCTGTAGTGGATGGTGAGTAATGGAAAATTGGATTCAGTAGAAAGTTATGTTCTTTATTCGCTTGCGTAACCGTCAGCAGTTCCTTCTTCTTGTATCCCATGCAGCCGAGTCGTCCATTGATGCGAGTCGCATCAGAGACAAAGGGTGGTAGCTGTCCGTCATAGCACTGAACTCGTTCTTCTTCCATAGCTTGGGATTCAGTGATTAACACTCTCAAAAGTGCGCTTGATGTAGTGAGAAAACAGACACGAATAAATGAGAGGACGTCAAACGGCTCGAAAGTTTGTAAACGAAACTTATTCTCTTTTTGAATCCTCCCAACTTCCTGAGACTTCCCACAGTCAGCTGGAACTTCCTCCACTTTTTCCTAAGTTGTGGTGTCAAGCGCGGGTTATATAGCACATGTAAATATCAAAAACCGAGGAAGGTCAGCAACCGGAGACATTTTTCTTGAAGGCAAATTCCTTGACTCGGGGGCGACTTTTCTCTACCTCTAGCGAGCAAATAAGGTCCACTTGCTGTGGTTGCCCAACATGCGACGAGTTCTGAGCGCATTACAAACAGTCTAGTTGCTACAGACCCATTTCTCCTTATCTATTTTTTTCGGTGAAAAACGAATTTCTGTGAAAAGGCTTGTTTAATGGTGCACTGGTGCACCGTAATGTCTCGTGCAGGAGCCCACCATTAGACATTCTGCTTGTCGTTGCGATCGCCGCCCTAGCAAGCACTGATTAGGGGGCTGTAAAAGGAACGCAAAGTTTTTTATTTATGAAGAAGTCTTTTGCTTAAGGAGTTTCCAGAAGACGGGTACAGAAAGTAAGTCAAAATCACGTAGTCCAAGAAACGACGGGAGATACGACGATTCCTAGCCAGTAATATTAAGTAAAGGCTTTGTACACAGAAATTTTAGCAATAGATGTTGAAAGTAATTTCAATCCTGTTAAATTTGAAGACAGAAGACATGATCTCATATATAGTTGCTTTTATTGAAATAAGCAT